GCCTTTCCCCCCCTTCCCAAAGCACTCTAGCTTGTTCAGGGGGTGACTGTATTTTTCCCTTTTCCCCCCTCCCTGGGGACACCCCCCACTCCCGGAAGAAATTTTCTACATTTTTAAGTGTTGGGTTACTTATGGCACTGGTTGTTGGTTTGGACTGTTGTCATGACTTGTTTTTTTTGTATTTATTCCGTCCCACCTTTTTCTCTGTCATTTAGTCTGTTACTTTTTCCTTGTATATTTCTGTTTTTGATAGGAGTGCTAATCTCTGCAAAATCAATGCCCTCAAGAGGTGAATGGAGTCCTCACCTTTTAAAATTCCTTCAAATGTTTCTTTGTATCCTCCATCAAAAGGTTAAAGAGGAAAGAAATAACCACCCTGTCTCACCCCCGCTTAATTTTGAAAAGAGAGGTTTGTTTTTTTTTTTTTACGCGAAAAGTTTTTATAGAAGAGGAAATTTTGTTACTATTTTTTCTGGAAATTCCATAAGCGAATTTTTTTCCATAGACGCGTCTCTATGCCGCTGTCAAAAAGCTTTCTCAAAGTCCCCAAAATTAGATAGTTACTTCTCGGCCGATTCGTTGCATTGTGCTATAATGTCACGTATGGCAAAATTTGCTCAGTGTTCCTCTGCCCCTTCTGATCTTCATTCACACACAGTCCCTTGCCATTTTGTTGCCATGAAATCTACCTTCATCCAGTAACCTAGAGGTCAAGAAATGGAATCCCACATGAATTTGTGATTTGATGGATCATGACAAGCACATGCTATGGTTTTACTTGCCCTCACATACACCTGGAGAGGTTACAGGGAGCCATAGACAACCTTATAAAAATTGCACGCCACTGTAGCACTCATAGATGGGATTACAAGAACAAGGTGCAGCCCCTGATTATCAACATACTAAAGCCAGATGCTAAGACAATGCTCGACAAACAGACATTATAAATATCTAGAAATACACACACAAACAATAACTGCAACATATCTTAGTTTCTTGTGATTTTCACACTACTAGGTAAACAAAAACAAATAAAAAGCAACAAGCCCCAGATATGGTTAAATTAGGTTAGTGATATGAAAGCAGAACTATAAATAACAAAATATGATGGCAGAGAGAAAAAAACACATTGCTCTTCAGCTTTTCTGCAAAAATGTAGATTTCATCACCAAGTAATAAAAAAAAAAAAAAAGATGTTATTTGCGTATCATTGACTGTACTTTGCAACTTTGAAATACTACTAAGGAGTTTTAGTCAGCAGTATGTCATTACTTCTGAACAGTCAGTGCTCAATACCATGGCCAAAATTAAAGCAAAATGATCTGCTGCTAAATCATCCACAGATGGAATTGAAACAGGGATTTCAGAATTTGCAACACCCAATCCATGTACTAAAAACAAGTGTTAATTAGATAAAATAACAATTTTAATCTTCATTAGCCATCCCATTATGGGATACCATTTTTGTTATTTTAAAGCCACAATTCGGCTTTTGTAAGGGGCCCTAATATAACCTAATAGTTGAATGGAGTTTCTGGGACTTGGCTCGGATGATTCTCATCTGAATGGGGGCCCTTTGGGTCACCAAAAAGCTCGGTGTGAGATCCTGGTGGGGTTGAACTTCATTCATTCAATTTTAATCTTCGAACAATATTTTTTTTGCTAAATCAACCCTCTGAGTAGTTCATGACATGTAAACCTCTCAGATGAAATTTGATAATTTTTAGTTCATATGCTTCTGAAGATTGCAAGATGTGGACAAACAAAGAACGCCCATACCAATCAGCAAGGTATTTGGAGATGATAACATTAAATTCACTGAAATATCAACACTAAACAAGATGGACACCTGAGACTATTAGTTTTATAAGTAAAGGATTCACTTCTACACCTTTAGCACACCACACATTTAGCACACCTTCACACATTTAGCACACCTCACCACTTTTACCAGATATTCACACCTGTAGCACATCTGCACACTTTTAGCACACCTCCAAGCTTTCAGCACACCTCCCCACTTTTAGCACACCTTGACACTTTTAGCACATGTTTACACCTTTAGCACATCTCCATACTTTTAGCACATCTCTACACCTTTAGCATATCTCCACACTTTTAGCACATCTCTACACTTTTAGCACATCTCTACACCTTTAGCACATCTCCACACTTTTAGCACATCTCCACACTTTGAGCACATCTCCACACCTTTAGCACATCTCCACACTTTTAGCACATCTCAACACTAAGCACGATGGACACCTGAGACTATTAGTTTTATAAGTAAAGGATTCACTTCTACACCTTTAGCACACCTCCACACATTTAGCACATCTCCACACATTTAGCACACCTTCACACATTTAGCACACCATCACACATTTAGCACACCTTCACACATTTAGCACACCTCACCACTTTTAGCACACCTCACCACTTTTACCAGATATCCACACCTGTAGCACATCTGCACACTTTTAGCACACCTCAAAGCTTTCAGCACACCTCCCCACTTTTAGCTCACCTTCACACTTTTAGCATGTCTACACCTTTAGCACATCTCCATAATGTTAGCACATCCCCACACCTTTAGCATATCTCCACACTTTTAGCACATCTCTACACCTTTAGCACATCTCCACATTTTTAGCACATCTCTACACCTTTAGCACATCACACTTTTAGCACATCTTGACACTTTTAGCACATCTCCACACCTTTAGCACACCACACTTTTAACAGATATCTACACCTGTAGCACATCTGCACACCTTTAGCACACTTCCCCACTTTTAGAACATCTCCACACCCTTAGCCCATGTCCACACCTTTAGCCCATGTCCACACCTTTAGCCCATGTCCACACCTTCAGCACATCTCCACACTTTTAGCACATCTCCACACTCCCCACATGGGGAAAGATCGACACTGACAAGTTGCATGAAGCTGGGATTCAGTCTTACCTTGATTGTGTTGTCTCTCAGGCCACTGATAATTTTGCTATCATCATACTGCAAGCAGTAGACCCCCTTGCTAGTCTCGCTGAGGCAATGGATTCTCTCTAAATGGTGTTTACCTGTTCGCCAATTGTTTTCTATCCTCTAAAATATGAACAAATAAAAAAATTATAAGTAGTTTCTTGTCTTTTGCTAGTTGCACAGCTTGTGTTAATATCATACAGCGTTTCTGTGGTTTCTCTTTTACTCCCTCCACGTATCACTCTCTTAGTCAGCCTCCTGCCTTAAAGCCTGCTGTTTGCATGTAGAATGCTCTGGCTGCTGACTGACTTATAACAGTAATAGCTTTACTGCCTATATTTACCACATTTCGAGTTATGTAGGACAGGGCTAGCAGCTGGCCAACTAGTTCAGAATCCTGGGCTCTCCTGCTCTGTAAGGTTGGGGATTTTTTTTCTGTTGGGGACTTTTTCTGTCAGGGACAAAAAAAAATATGAACCTGTACAGTCTGTGGCGACAGCACTAGCCCTGCAGCCCCAAATTCTCAGGCTCAAAGACCCTCCCTCCCACCCCGGACAATACACAGCAAAAATGGTCAATCCTGACAGTAATAGCAGTTTTAATGGCAGTAGGATAGTGGTGTTGTGAGCCTGAGGATTCAAAGCTGAATGGCCAGGGCAGTCCTCACAATCTGGGCAGGTTAGAATTTTTATTTCTATCTCCCGGACAAAAAAAAAAAACAAATATCTCAAAAATCTGATTGAAGATCAAACATGGGAGTCCGACATGAGAATCTAGAGCCTCTAATCAGACGGACAGCCACTGCTAGACTACATTAGTAAAGGTACAAATACCCATACATCTAAATTAAGTTCATAACTAAGGTAGCATATCTGTCACTTAGTGCTTTCATTTCTTGCAACTGTGAGACATCTTATGAACAGAATATAACCCATGTCAAAGCTCCAATATATACATGATTGTCCTTACAGAATAGATGTATACATATGTGAGCTAGACAACAGCTGTACAATTTAACTGTAATTTATAAAATTCATACACATAAAATTCAAGATAGGCGTATCAGCTGTATGCACCTGTGGAAAGGAGCCCCAGACAGCAGAGCCCGTACTCCAGGACTGCCCTGAATTTGACACATTAAGGCAAACCTTTTGGCCAGAAAGAACAACTGTGGAACGTAAGCTCTATGGACCACTGAATGAACTAACTAACAACGACATTGAAATTTATATGAGAGACAAAATTGCTGATATAGAAAACTTATTTCATGCGAACGAAAGAAGAAGGAGAAGAATAAAAACAATTTACATTATGACTATGGAATTTTTTGGGGAGCTGAGTTGAGTTGAGTCAAGAATTGACATCAGAGCACTCAGGGCATTCCCATGCATGCTTCGTCCTCATCTTCAGCATGCAAGTGCAGAGTTCCAATACTGATGGTACCGGTCACAATCTGGTTATATGTCTGTCTTGCCCTTCCTCTGAGTGTAGTGAGCCGCCCAGACTCTCTGGTTACACCCAGATGCCTCATTCTCTCCAGGCCATAATAATCTTCTATCTCTACTGATTCTGGTATAGTCTTATTCAAAATAAGTCTCACTTGAAACAGACGTTCAAAACCACATCACTGTCACTAAGTTGGTTGTACTGTTATTATAGCCATCAATAAAGTCCTGCAGGTGGTATCGTGGCGCATATGACAATAAGAGACCAAAGATGGCAATCACTGGTGACTTGTACCAAAGAGGATAACCTTCCAGGCACAATTTTAGGATAACCTTCCAGGCACAATTTTCCTAACTTATTTGACAATGACAACATGTTTTTACTTTTTTTTTTTTTTTTTTTTAAAGTTGTCGATTAGAGCAATTAGTTACAACATACAGCCAACTCTAACAGGTGAAAATTAATCACCAGATTAGCAGGAAATGTGGAAGTTGCAGAGATGCGGTTTTATAATAATGCAATGAAAAACAAAAACCAACAAGAAAAACATACATCTTGGAAGAACTTGACTTACAAAGTGAACAGGTTACTAGCATCAGAATCTTGTCCTTCTCCCTGTCAAAAGTTTTCAGATTAGAAAGCCACAGATCTACATAAAGGCGAGGGTGGGAGACATATCCTTCTCTGACTGACACAGTTTGGTTTTAATGAGAATGTTTACTGGCTAGGCCTGGGATTGTCCAATTGCATTCAAAGCACATATCTGCAGCACATCAGAATAAGAAAGTCCAAATTCTTTTGGGCATATCTGAGTAGGATAAAGCCAGTGTACGCCATGATAATGGGAATGACTGAAGAGAAAGCAGGCAGGGAGAAATCAAAAAAGATGTTTACAAATTTCACCTAACAGTATGGATTAACACAATTTCAGAAATAAATAATAGTACATAAGACAGAAGGCTACAGATGTGATGATCAATAGGACACCATAAAGTGACATTAACTCAGGAAGGGGACACATGCAACATCCAGTATTACAATTATCAAATATCTTACATCGATATCGTGTATTATCTGTGGATAAAGTGTTCTGTAGAATTTGTGATCTTTTGGTGTTTCATCGTGTCTTTGCTTGAAAAGGTATTGATCCCTGGGAAAATTGAATTGTTAGTGACATTAGGTAAACTAACACAAACGTATATTTTATTATTACAGTACATGAACATATAGGTAAATCCTATTCATAAATTTTTTCCTGCCTGCTCAATTCTACTTTTTCAGTTTGCCCTTAAAAAACAGGCATTTGGCACTTTGGGTTGTGGTTTACAGATAGGCGGTGATATCTGCACATTTCAACCCAATTTCAGCAAACCCTTAGTAACTGCCCTTTATGATATGCCCCCCCCCCCCCCCCCCCAAATGCAGCTCAGGAACCCATACAGGAAAAAAATCCCTGCCCACAATCACTACCATCAGAAGTGAGCAGCAAACTTTAACAATATAACTAGAATGTCCTTCTACTAGAACCTACAGGATCAAAGGAATAGAGGCAGACCCCTCCCCCCTCCCCCTCAATACTTAGAGAAGGGAAATAGAGAGTGAAGTAAGAAACAAATGAGGAGGACATGGGGTAGTTCTACTTACGATTAAAAAAAAAGCTACACTCAGTATTGTTGGTTGAGAGTCTATGCTCCAATGGGTGATAGAGGGCAGAAAAAGAGAACAGCAAAAATTGTGAAGATAAATTCTAGACTATCAAATTAGCTGACTTCCTTGAACAACATATTTTACAATTATATCTCATCCTCAAAATGAACAGGTTATTTAATCAATTTATATACGCTGCTGCCGTGGTATAGTGTTAGAACTTCATTCAAACTGCCCTGACAATGAGACAGGATACAAGTTCCTTCCTACTTTGCATTATCTTACACTTCTGGTAGATTTTATGAGAAGTCAGCGAAACAGTTACTCTGCAACCTAAAATATAATATTAACATTTTTTTTACAATTAAATATTTACCGAGCAATAATAGTAAATAGCAGCTTACCATGACCGCCGCTCCGAAAGACCTTTCCATAAACTATCTGTGCGAACTTTGCGTTCAATCAGTTTTTTCCATAAGTTGCCCTCTGAAATAACCCTATACCACTCCTTGCAAACCAACTCAGCTGCACAAAGTGATTTGGCATCCAGATATGCCAGAATGTTTTCAGCAATGTGATCAAGGCCTTTGGCTGGAGAAATGACAATGTAAAGTGATCAGTTAAAACAGTACTAAAATAATGAGATGTTCAATTAGAATTCTGTACTATTTCCACAATGGAGGTTGGCTACAGGGTTATATTATGAAAAATATAAAGTAAAGAGACCCCAATCTCTTCCACAGTTAAATGTGGCATTGAAAACTGCAAATTGCCTGTGCAGGTTCTGGGGCCCTATTATGGGGAAAACAAGAACAGACCCACTGCCTCCCCAACAAGCATGTCGTAAGAGCAGACTAATGGGAAGGATTGCATTTGTCTGAGAGGCAAGGTACCAACAGTCTGCATACAAATAAGCCAGGTCCGTAAAATGGATGTGCGCACAGCATTAAGGTTCTGTAAAAGACAAAGTCTAGAGGTGGACGAACAACCAGAACTTTACACCACAGTTGACCGCTCATGAATATGAAAAAGAAGAAAACTGCTAAGAGAACACCTGTGATTTTAAAACCAACAGTTTTGTCTTTCTTTTCATTATTCCACACACACACACACCAATTAATTGAACATCAACATTGGATTAGTAAAATGATGTGTGTTGAATTCATCTGATCATGTCACCCCAGTATAATTTGTTTTCAGCATTTCTTTTCTGAATGGCGTAAGTGCACATCACGGCTAAAGTAATACAGACAGATGAGGAAACATAAGGAGAATAGGATTAGAGAATGATAGGATGACGATGCTAGTTGGTTCAGGGCCTAAGTCTTTACTGCAGGAAAAAGAAAACTGCATACTGCTGGTATATCTAGTATAGATCTTACTATTATTTCGTTGGATAAATTGAAAAGATAAGTTGATAACCCTGTCTAAAACCTGTGTGGGTTCTGGGGTCCTGTTGTGGGGAAAACAAGAATAGACTCACTGTCTCCCTAAACAGCAGGTCACAGAGTTGACTAATTGGAGGCTTTCTTTGAAGTCGGAGTGCATCTGCCTAAGAGGTGATGAACCAAAAGTCTGCATACAAATAAGTCACATCTGTGAAACGAATATGCACACAACACTCAGGTTATGGCATAAGACTAATAATGTCCAGTGGTGGACAAATAACCAGAACTTTCTGCCGCAGTTTACAGCCTGTGAACGTGAAGAGAAATTGAACAGATAAGGTGATAATTAACAACCCTCTTTAATAAAATTGTCACAAAAAGTTCCCATTCTTCTGTCAATTCTTATGGCCTTTTTGTATTCTCAGATCTTAGCCATGAATGTTTCAATGTTCCAACATTCCAGTTATTTCTTAACTTTCCACTTTATCAAAAGCTTTAGTGTAATTAATAAAACACACATATAAATCTCTCTTTCATTTTAGTATTTCTCTGTAATGTTCTAAATGGTGTAGATGTGTCATTTGTACCTGTTTCTTCTATACATAGAAAGGTGTCATTTGTACTTTTACCTTCTATAAATCAATACTGCTTTTCCCACAATATTTGGTTTCATTTTGCTTTTTCCTCAATACTATTCTGATAAATATTTTTAGCAATGCACTAAACTAACTGGGAAATATTCTCCATAACCAACCACCCCATTTGTTTTTGGTCAGTAGGATATGCAAGTATTTTTTATTTCAACAGTTGGTGATGTCACTTTCGACATATCTATACTCAATTCCTCAACAGTTGTTCAGTTTTCAATACTGATGTTCTTCAACAGTGCTATTACCTGGCACTGGGATTTATCAGTTTAAAAAAAAATCTAGCATAGTATCCTCTACCTTTACTTTCAATATTGTTGATTATTCAATTGTCATTAGTGTTAATATACCTTCATGAAGCCATTATTGTGTTACATAGTTGGTTGTCTGGTTGACACCTTTCGGTCTTTCCTGATGGCAGTGTTATACTGTTCTATTGAGAGGCTTGGAAATCACAGTCCACAACAATGACGAGCTTCTTCTTCTTCTTTTTCTCTTCCACCTTGTCCATCAGCGAAGTGTCGGGAGGAGACATAATGTTCGTTGATGAGCTCTGTCAAGAGCACTATTAAGATTGACGTTCATTTCTGTGAGGCTGTTCTTTATGCCATCACTCCATATTTTACAAGGTCTTCCTCTCACACTATACCCATTGTAACATTTCATTGTGGTTCGCTGTGGTAGATAGTACCAGGGCATTCTTGCTAGATGTCCAAAAACTTCATTTGTTGCTCTTTGATGACCTGTAAGATTGGCTTTATTCCTAGCATTCATCTGATTTTGTTTTCGGTCTTTCCTTGAAACTCCTGCAGCTCTTCTAAGGCATTTCATCTCTGTTGTCACAATTTTATGTTCATTAGAGAATTTAGCTTGACTAGCTAAATTTGCTTGCCCTTAAGAAAGTCTTCCACATTTCGAGCATGGAATTTCAGGACTACTGTTGACATTTGTGTATTTCTTTTTCTTCTTCTTTGTGTTTGGTTTCGTTTGTTTAGGTCAGACCGTCAGTTGGACTGCCTCTATGAATTCGTATGACAGCTGCAGGTCCTTCATGGTTCCCCATAGCTTGCTCTGCAAACTTTGCTCTTGAGGCCAGGTTTTCTTTCAAAGTTGTAGGTAGAGTGGGCAGATCTGCAGAATGTGCTCAGGTGTTTGTGGTCCTGTCGACAGGCACTCTGTAGGGATTGTACAGTCCTCATTTTATGCATGCGGTAGTTGAGTCTGCAGTGTCCTGATCTTAGACAGAAAATTGCTGTATGTTGCTTTCTGTTGAGTCTGCTGATAGGATACTGTGGATGTGTACTGTTGGTGTGTTCTCTCCCCAACTCCTTGTATTTTCCCTTAAAAAAAGGTTTTGATTTCTGGTAATGGCAATGAATGAGTGTGTTATTTCTCCTCTGTTCCATGTTTTGCAAGTCTGTCTGCCAACTCATTTCATGATATGCCTCAGTGAGCCAGGATCCACTTCCTTCTTCTCAGATGCTCAGCTCTGAACCTATCTGCAACTATTTTATCAGTTTCTATGAATTTCCTGATTTCAACCTTCCATGCAGTACGGTTTATGGTATCCTGTTCCCATAAATCCCCATCAATACCATCCACGCCTCGCTAGCACACATCCTTATATCACGGTACATAGCTGATTCCTTTTTGAATTTCTCCATAGAGAATGCCCTCAGATGTGCTACCATCCTCCAAATATGACCCAGCCATCTGATCTTTAGTGATTGGGCTTTGGAAAAAAAACTGTTGTAAGACCTGCTCTCTCCAGTACTTTAGTATTTGTGCCAGTAGATGTCTAGTTAAATGGCATTACATAATCATATATAATAAGACATTTTTGATAAAGTGAACTCACAGTAGTTATAAGGGGCATCAAAATGATCATTATCAAAATCCATTTAGTATTTTGAATTAATCATTACCACTATGTGTTTTGCTGTTTGGCATGGATAATTTTGCTTCTCCACATCCCATGATCTGACCCAAATGGGTATCAGGTAAATTCTTGGGAAGTAAAGGTGACCAGCATGATGTGGACCACATCACCTATAGAGTACTGATTGGTCTATAAAATATATGTCTAGCCCTATATTCCAATGACACCTGAAGGCATGGGAAATGGTCCTTAATTCCTATGATCTCCAACAGCATGATTCAACCTGTGCTGACATCTTTCTATGTAATGACAATAAGATGTCATGAATTGTCTTGTCTGCCTCTATATTTTTTTCACAAATTTTTCCAGCCATCACAAATCATTTCATTATTTTCATTTCTCATATAGAAAAAAATAACTGCAATATTTTACCGATACTTTAAACTTTAACATAAAGTGTCAAAATATATATAAAAGAACCATTTTTCATTAGTAAAATGCAAAGAATACCTGGCAATGCTGAAATGAAGTCTCTCTGCAACATGGGCTTGAGAAAGGCATTTATCTGACCATGCTGGTAGTGGCACATACGAGAAAGTAAATGTTCTACAAAAATAACCTGCTGCCCCTCACACCAACCCTCAAAATATTTTGTACATAAGTCTCTGTCTCTGATAAACTCGTCCGATTCAATGAGGTCTTTACTGATGATAGACGGTAGAAGTTGTGTTGATTCAATCTGAGAACACAAATTGTGCAAGTTTATATATCTTGACATATTAAAGACATATTATACTCTTATAAAACCATACTGGATCAAAGTTGAAGACAAATGGGGAAATGCATCAAGAGATGGATGAACAGAAGTCTGACAGTATGCATCTAAGGCAACAATAAAAAAACTAAGCATGGCAACCTCGCTGTGAAATTGACTGAATTGATTATTTCTTTGTAATTATGAAAGTATGTTTACTATAAATGGATGTTGAGCTGAGTTGAGTTGATTTAAGAACCGACATCACAGCACTTGGGGCATCCCCATAAGCGCTCCGTCCATATTTTCAGCAGCCAGCGCAGAGTGTCAATACCAATTGTGCCAGTGGCCTTCTGATTAAACGTCCATCTTGCGTTTACTCTGAGCGTCGAGCATCAGCCAGAACCCCTTGTCACTCCCTGCTGCCTCAGTCTCACCAGACTGTGGTGATCCATTTGCTCTTCTAAACTGTACACGCTCTCCCACACGGCCCTAATCATGTCTGCCTTAACATGTATCATATAAAAGGATGTAATATAAACAAGTCACCTCGATGTGAAACCTCAGTGACATTTAGTGGAAGACACCCCAGTTCTGAAGCAGCAGTCAAAATATCTGCAAAATACATACTGAATGCAATTTATTTTGTAAATAGAATGTTGTTTCTTTTGTTGGCCATATTAAACATCAGTGGCTTAGCAAGAATGACCGGAAAGGTTAGCCCAGTCAACAAATATCTGCAGAGGTTGGATGTGTCAGTCGAAAGGCACAATGCAAATACATCTTCGGATGAACGCAGAAGCAGAAGATGAAAGAAAGAAAAGCATGGCAGCCGGGTTGACCAACACAACAGTGACCTCACTGAAGTGTTATAAAAAAAAAAAAAAATGGCGTTGCATATGCAGATCTTCATTCCTGTAAAGTTGTTCTTGATGCAGTCATTCCATATTTTTATGTGGTCTTCCCTTCCTTCTCCACCACCTCCTCCTCCTTCTTCTTTTTCTTCTTCTTGTAGTGTTTATTACATTTCTTTATTGTGGCTCTCTGTAGCAGCTGGTACCAGGGTGTTTTCATCAGATGGCCAAGATTTCTTAAATAAAAAAAATAAAAAAACTGGATGTGAAAATGCAAGTGACAGGCAAACCGGTGCAAGAAAGTATTTCTAAAATGAAACACAACAGTGATGTTCTGCAATGGACCTACTGCATACAGATGATGACTTAACTCTACGCCACACCGTGTATTAACTCCTTGAGTCCCAAGGAATTAGTCATGCACTATTTGGTAACCACCCAGCGGCCTTATTTACACGTGACATGTACAGGTTTTTAATTTACTACTGATCAGTATAAAAACGCGAACTGGAGATTAAAACTTCCTTTCCCGTTCTTTGTGTTCAAAAACTCACTTGCTGACCATTCGGTTTTTTGGAGAAAAGACTAAAATATAGCATGTTTGCTAGGTTTACCAAGTTACTAAATGTTTCTTAAACAAACATAGCTGCCAAGCAGTCTTCTACATATATGCTAACATTATTTATGGCTTTAGAGGCCTCAATTTAAATAAAACATGTGTTTATGAGATTTATCCAAAGTTGTAAAGCAGACTTGTTTCAGTCATTTATAGAGTCAAAATTTGATGAGTGATAGCCTGAATATATACCTCACGCAAAGGGTACAACGATAACAAAGTTAGCTGGTACAAAGAGAATAAATTTTAGCAAAAATTTTGATTCTTTCAGTGTCAGTTAGTTCTAGTGATATTTCCCATTTTATTTAGGAAAATAGTTACTAAGTTAATGGCAAATTCAGCGTTGTATAAACTTCCATTTGTGTGAAGATACTAACTGCTTTGGGAAGTCATTTCTCTTTACTAAATAATGGTGCTCTGTTACAGTGTTACAAAAGTTTCTTTGAAATGAAATCTTGTGTACAGATTGTGTTTATATTTTATTTATAGACTACTGTTGTTCATGTTCATTTCTGATTTATTTTGGATATATTTTATTGAATTTTCATTGAGCACCTTGGTGGTAAGTGGACAAATTATTATTACATTTTACTTATTTTTCTAAACATCTTGTCTGTTTATTTACTTATAATTAATTAATAAACCATTTTAGCTATTGTAGCAGCATTCTAATATTATTCCTCAACCATCCCTGGTCACTCTTATGTGTAATGTGTGTATGTTGCATGACAGCTGAATTAGTAGTCTATTTTAATGTGTTAAACTTGTTGCTGTGAAACCTCTGGGACTGACATTATTTATTTATTTATTTGAAAGACTTGAAAGAATAAGGAGGCAAGACTGGATTAAAATTTTCTTTATCGATTCCAAAATTACAGGTCTCACAATTTTACAACCCCTGATCAATGGTATTAAATAAAACTGACCTAATGTACAACAGATTTAATACAAATCTCCTCTATGAGAAAAAAGTGTAATCTTCAGACTAATCACACAACTAAAACTAACAGTTTAGATTTAAATATGTTTAATAAGTTAAAGCACAATTGTGATTAATACACCAGTTCTATCCGAGGACAAAGTGATAACAATGATTAACAATACTAGCATTCTCCAGATGAGTCCTGCTTTCGTTAAATATTTGTGACAATGTACAGTAAATTTGATTACTTGGCTATCTTCCGAATAACGGTCTCAAATTATTCAGGCTGAAAATATACCCTAACAGAGCCTTAGTCATGTGTCAATCCGGGGACTTAAATTGCGCACTACCGGCGACTTCCACCACTGCCGAGAGTATCCCCCTCGCCACTCACGTGGCGTGGATTGGGGCTAAATTAGATGGCTGGGACTCACAAGCAGCAGCTACTGCATCTCCTGCAGCTTCCTTCATTTTATTTGCTCGTGAGTCTTAGCCATCTAGTTTAGCCCCAATCCACGCCGCGTCAGTGGCGTGGGGGATACTCTCGGCGGTGGCGGTATAGTCCCCGGAAGTTCACAATTTGGGGGGTGGCGGTAAAGTCCCCGGAAGTGCGCAATTGACACGTGACTGAGGCTCTGTTAGGGTATATTTTCCGCCTCGATAATATGGGACAGTTTTTTGGAAGATAGCCGATTACTTTAATGTTTAATTAGTTACTTTTTTTTTAAATTTCTAATATTTGTCACTGAATACTAAGAAAATTGCCTACTCCTTGGACCTATTTCAGTTTTTTTAGAAGATTTAGGCTTACAACCACAGTGGTAACCACTGATTAGAAGCAAGAAAATGAACTAATATATCATTTTGTTTTTAGTGTTAAGTTTGCGGTCACCGTCTGTAAACTCCGGCGGAAAATACTGAATGTTCATCCAGTTTTGGCCTTAGCTATGTTTAAAGTTTCAGGACCAGAACGATTTCCACTTCAACGGTTTCTTTCTGAGAAAACCAGCAGTCAGTCGTATATCTGAGACTTTTGTTGTTGCTACCGTGTTTATATCACTCAAAATGACAGTACAACAAACACTCACTTTCTTATCTGAATCGTCTGGTAGACTACAGGTTTCCATGTTTGTTTCTTGAAATGCTATTTCAGATATTTCGGACATTATTTACACAAACAGACGGGTGCCAGAAGCCCGAGACGACGACGACAGTTGTGTCTCCCCTTGATGATCTTCCCTTTACTGGGAATGAACGTCCCTGACGTCACTACCTAACGCCCAGTCGCCGAGAATTCACTTTTTCATTTTCTGTTTTCCCAATTTCTGAAAATTCCAGTAATTTTAACATTTCTAGATTTTAATAACGACAAATGGCAGTAAACTGTATCACTTTTAAATAGTTTGAGTTGGTGGTTTTATTTTCGATAATATTTCGGATCGGCCATGGATACGTAATGTTAAATAAAATGGTGGATGTACTTGTCGATCTCGCATACCGCGATGGTATTCTTGAAAAAGGACACCCAGTGACCCAAGGAGACACTTTTTATGCATACACCTAAGAGATGGATTTCCTAGGAACATCACTTATCCACATAAAAGTTATATTAGGGGTATCCAACGGTTACAAATTAGCCTGCTGTTAAAAAAAAAAGGAACAGCCAATTTGCTCTATTTAAACGGATAATTTCGTTACAGAGTTGAGTCAAGAATTGACATCACAGCACTCGGGGCATTCCCATGCGTGCTCCGTCCTCATCTTCAGCAGCCAGCGCAGAGTTTCAATACTGTTAGTACCGGTCACAAGCTTTAACCCACTTT